ACTTTAGTCAGTTGCGCTTTTGGCTATACAAATGGAGACATTAACCATGAAAATGAGGAAACACGTCATATACCTTTGTTGCATCAGTCTTAGTGGTTTGTTAATATTTTGCATTTAAATATTTAACTTACCAGTATACAGCACTGTGCAAAAATAAAAACAGCATTATCACTTAGGTAAAGTGAGGTACACTACCCCCCAGACAGTTTATTGTCCATAATGTAATGGTATTAGATGAAATCCACATTATTGTCCATACTTTAATGGAAATAGATGAAATCCACATTATTGTTCATAAATGTAATGGTTATAAATGAAATCTAGTTTATACAAGAATAGCGTTAGCACTGTAATAATGTTGTTTTTCTATGTTTTCTCTTGTCAGAAGATAAAAGGAATATCTTTCCTATGAAAGAATTTAGAAAATAGAATTCCTCTGAAGAGCTCTGTGCCCCCAGGAGGCTACGTGCTACTGCTTAGTACGATTTGAAAGCAGCCTGCAGAACTAAGACAGTACTCTTCATTTTCATGTGTATAAACTGTACTGACTCTGTGTCTTGTAAATGTGGTTTATTCCCTGCACCCACTCATTTCTAGTGAAATCAAATGTGCTGCCTAGGAAAACAATATTCTTAAGTTTATCATGTGATGCATCATTTAACTGGTGAGTTTAAGTGGCACTAAGCTCTGGTTTAAAAAAATATATTCAAATATATATTTGTAATTCAAAAAGTCCATTCTATTGCTCTCAGCCTCCTCCAAATCTCCAAATTACTTTTTTTTTTTTTTTTTTCTTTTTTTTTTTGCTGCTATGATCTGATTTCCCATTAGATGTTGGCTATGTTCCTTATCAATGGTCCCACTGTTTGTAGGAACGCAGCCATTCTTTCTTGCTCACTCCCAAGATGGATTAGGCAGAGACAAGGGACTGTGGGATTTGTAGTGTGCCTAGAGAGGTGCACACAGGACCATTAAGTAGTTGATGTACAGTATATGGATTACTTTGGGAGATCAAGGAGATTGTTTAGCATCACTTAAACAATTAACACTGACATTATGTTAATGGTCACATGGGGGGGGGGTTAATTAAGAGAACGGCTAATTGTTTGGTGGTTAAATGTAGATCTCAGCTTCCTGGATCACTCTTCAAAATGTTTATGACTACTCTAACCTTGTGACTTTCCATCTCCCTGCCTTATCTCAGCTAACTTTACCAGCGTTATTAAAACGCCCAGTGTTCATGGAGCCTAAAAAGTATCACAGACATTACTCAATTTTTTTTGTGCTTAGGGACAAGCAATTAGGGGGTTTCAGCAGCAGTTAGGTATAGTATTGTACTTCTAAAGCCCAAAGCTTTTTTTTCTTTATTATTATTAACAGAGTAGGGAAGGATCAGAATGTATGTGACATTTTTATCTCTTTTTTGTGTCCTCACTGGGGGGGGGATTAAAGCTAGGTATACTCTAGCAGAAATACATTTAACATTTTAACTTGTAGGAAAATTGTAAAAATGTTCATTCATTTTTCTAACCATTAGTGGGGTCAAATCCGCATTTGTGTTGACTGCAGTGAGGAGAAAAATACGTAGTAAGTAGGATGGAAAATTTTAATATACTAATTTCTAATAGTATAAGTGTTTTTTTTGTTTGGTAATGTCCATTCATTTCAAAATCAAATGTTAAAAGCAAACAAAATCTTGACCTTATGTTGAAGGAAATTCAAATGTAATGAGAATTTTAATATGAATTGTCCTAAGAATTTTTGTAATTCTACTATTGTATATTCAGCTTAACCCTCCCTATTTTTTCGAGCGGCTATTGAAACACAGAAAGCAATGATAACTTTGGAGAGATTTCCTCTTACTTCCTGTGTTGTGTCTCTGAACAGGGATTGAACAAAAATTTCCTCAGTGAGATACAGACAGGCTTTGTTCCTGGTTATGTCTTGCTGGTTCTCATATGTCAATACAAATCTTCCATATTGGTCTGCTTTGATTGAAGCAGAAAACAACGTAATGCTCACTGGTAACCAGAGACCAACTAGTCTAGGCTGCCCAGGCTTCACATTACATAGTTAGTCTGGCTGAAAAAAGACAAAAGACCATCCAGTTCAACCATAGAAAAAAAAAAAAGAAGTTATAAGCTTCCACACAGTTGATCCAGAGGAAGGCAAACCCCCCCCCCCCCCCCAGCAAAGCATGATCTAATCGGATATTCCCTGGATCAACTTTGCCTATAAATGTTAGTATCCAGTTATATTCTGTGTATCTAAAAAACAATCCAGGCCTTTTCTGAAGCATTAGAGAGAATATTTATTTTTTTATGTAAAAAAAAGTTTTGGTTTTTTTTAACGTAGGTAGTAATGTGATTTGTAAATTCTGACGTGCTTTTTAGTACATATTAAGTATGATTTTTAATGACAGCACCACTGAGTGATTGCTGCAGCCATCAATAACTGTCTTGTTATAAAATAGTAAATATTCACCAACGGCAGCATGATGTATTATGATCTAAATTATATCTTATATTACTGATTTCTGGTATAATGGAGGTGAGTGTTCCCCTGTTCTTGACATAGCTGTGTCAGACATGTTTCTTTCTGCCTAATGTTGACAGGTAAATACAGCATGCATTCAGGTACAATGTACTTACATTACATTTCATATGATTCTGATTTATTTTTTAAGTGTTTTTTTGGTAACCTCCTTCTTTGTGTAACTTGTACTTTTTATACATTTAAAATGTAGTGTATTTAAATGTGATGCTAAGAACAATTTAAAAAAAAATTAAAAAGTTTACGTATAAACAATTAAAAAATGTAAAAAGAAAAATCAGCAAAAGAAAAATAAAGGGAGAAGAGGAGTTATTTAAAGCTGAATGAATTAACAGTCAACAAGGGTTTAAATAGGTGCGATTTTTAATAAAAACTAAGATAAAACCAAACCCCAGCTGTGAAACTGAGAAGCTATCCTGGTGATTTTGCCAGGCACAGCAGGGTAGGAATACAAGAGCATATGAGCAACAGCCAGGTACTTTAGTAACTTTTTTGGGACGTACCTCAAATACATAAAGTCAACTGCTGGTCCAAAGTATCAATTTACTTAAAATATCAAGCAAAGAAGCCTGGATTACTCTTGCAACTGAATATTTTTCAGTATCACACAAGATAAATGCTGCAAAATAAGAACAAAAGATGGCGCACCATAATTAGGTATATTAGGGAGGCTGATACATCATGTCAAACTGGCTCTGAGGAAGAAGGGATGTCCCTTTGAAACGCATCAACCATTCTTCTAGAGTCTTCCTCCATTTGGGACTCGCACAGGACTTTATTGGCCAGTATTGGATATAATTTGCTTGTGAATTTTTGGCGTCTTGTGAGTATAGATCTTTTATCCTTTTATTAACTTTTATCCTTCAATACACACGTTGTTGCTGAGGTAATGCACAAGGCTGGTGCGCTTTCTTTTGTTCTTATTTTTTCAGCATTGTCCTAGGCTTCCCCAGCCTTCCAAAAGGGCTGCACAGCATTGCTCATAATTGGTGGATCTATTTTGCCAAGGAAGGCCTGTCCAAAATTGCCTCATCTGGGTCTCTCAGCGCAGGAGGTGACTTATTTTTTACAAAATAAATGAATATAGATTTAACATTTGCTCATGTACTTCAACAATTTGATTTGCATATGTTGACTTTGTAAAGAGAGAAGCATATAACAAAAGTAAAAAACCACACCTGCTCAAGAGCACACCCAACTCATATTAAAACACTCATTTTACATGTTGGTTTTATTAATTAAAAACTGAAGTTTAGGTATGGCAATTTTACAGAGTTTCAATAAGCCGCTTGGACCAGTAAAAGTATGTATGTGCTATACCTGTTTGGATCCCCGTGGAGTGGAAGCTGGAAATTACAGTAGTAGGCACCTAATACATGACTAATGTAAAATAGATGTGCTAGTTAAGACATAGCTACTGAACCATGCTCATACACAACTCTCTCTCTTTCACACTATACCCCCCCCCCCCACCCCCCCCCCACACCCTCACCCCCACCGAACTCTAATTATACCAATGAAGGAGACCAAACCACCGTTGGAGTAAAATGGCCATCATGGCCTTTTAATAACAATTCAACTTAAACAATACAAAACATTCCTTGAAACAGAAACATAACAGTAAAAAGTTGTTGGTCTTAGAAGGCACAAAAAATACCGTCATCCCCCTACGGAACATTAACCATAATATTAATACTAAGCCTCCAGCCGCAACACACACGGCTAAGAGACAAAACACACAATCTGCAGTGCACAACCTCCACCTTCCAGTTAAACCTTGGTTAACTGGAATACCACCAATGGGTTCCAACCATTCAATTTAGCTTCAAATTATTTACCACCTCCAAAGACCAACAACCGCCCCAAAGCCAGAACAAACCAGGACCTAAAAGACCCAAACAAACCCCAAGGCAGGATGGGAGGTAAGTTTCTTTTTTTTCCGCTGCCACTCCTGTACTGGATCGTCTGACCCCACACCACTCCTCCCAAATGTGCCACCCCGCACTACCAATCACCAATCACGTAAGCCTAACATGTTTTACAACCTTCCTGCCTTTCCTTAACCCTTTACTGTCTGTCCTAGCCTATTCACCTAGTAATGTCTGCCCTCCACTATTTTTTTTTGTGCTATGGGCACCACTATATAACAATTGCTGTTAGCTTATAGGTCCCACGCCAAGTGGCTTCCTTGGTGCTTACTAAACACAGGATGTTGCTTGCTTGACATGGATGCCTTATTGACATTGGTTTAAGCTGGACCAATGTTTCTATGTAAAAATTGCCATACCTAAATCTCAGCTTTAAACATTATTACCCGCTTTACTGCAGCCCTATAGAAGAAATACCACTACAGGGTGGCAGGGATGCACAAAATCATGTATACATACATGATTTTGCATCTCTGGGTAGGGGGCACACTCGAGCTGCGCACACCCTACCCACACCACCATTCGTGGCCTCGGCTGTCAATCACTGGGTCCCGGCTGGTGATTACTCAGGGATCGCCGAGTAATACCGACGGGGGGAGAAAACTGTATGTAATGAATACAGTTCTCTCCCCTGTCAGCTCCAGCACACTGCTTTGTATGGCTCTGCATAGCAGAGCCATACAAAGCAATGAACTTACAGTGGAAAGCACAGACACAGCCCCATAGTAAAACACACACAGCACACAGTTAACCCTTTGATCACCCCAGATGTTAAACCCTTCCTGCCCAGTGCCATTAGTACAGTGTCAGTGCTTTTTATTAGCACTGATCACTGTACTGGTGTCACTGGGGATGTCAGTGACATCAAGTCAGTTCCCCCCTAGTGTCAGAATGCCCGCTGCAGTCCTGCAGTCCCGCTATAAGTCGCTGATCACCGCCAATACTAGTAATAAAAGAAAAATTCCAGTATATATACACCATTTGTAAACACTGTAACTTTCACATAAACCAATTAATTTACACGTATTGGGATTTTTTTTAGCAAAGATATGTAGCAGAATACATTTTGCCCTAAATGTATGATGAAATTTGATTTTTTATTTTTTTTTATTGGGCATGTTTAATAGCAAAAAGTAAATAATATTGTTTTTTTTTTCACAATTGTCGGACTTTTTTGTTTATAGCGCAAAAAATAAAAACCTCACAGGTGATCAAATACCACCAAAAGTAAGTTCTATTTATGGGGAAAAAAGGACATAAATTTAATTGGGGTGCAGCGTTGCATGACTGCACGATTGTCAGTTAAAGTAACGCAGTGCCGTAACACAAAAAAATGGCTTGTTCAGGAAGCAGGTAAATCCTCTGGAGGGCAAGTGGTTAAATTAAATATTCAGCATGGAAACTGTAAGCAATATGGCTATTATAAAATTATAATTAGTAACACATACTAAATCTGGGAGATGTGGCAGTGTTCCTGAAATCAAACCTTTACTGAGAAAAAACATTTTAACACCTTTTAACGTAATTAATTTTAATGAAACTGTTTACTGATATATTGGTCCTTTGGCTTCAATACATTCAAACGCACTGCCCTAAAGCAATGCAGTTTAAAGGGTCTTGACTTTCTTTGTTGTGTGCATTTTCCAGAATCTGTGAAAGTCAAAGGATCCAAATGACTACATGGCAATTAGTATTTCAGAAGGTTAGAAAGGGCATCCTCCATGTTCCTTCATTAACAAGTATACAGATAAGGACTTCACTCTGACTTTCTTTATCTGCATACTTGCCCCTGGTCAGCGATTCAGAAAGTATGAAGTTTAGTGGGTCACTATAATAACCAGGCAGCTAGCATTTTCACAAGGAAGTCTGTGGTGACAGCCCTCATCTTTCTCTTACTTTAAACTAACAATTGTAGCCAAGAAATTAGTAAGCAGCCGTTATGATAATCTGAGATCTGCAATACATTTCCTGAAAGTGGGGAACTTTTAGGAAGTAATGGTTAGTGCTGTACAGTTTGCTTCACTTTGACTTTGCATATGACATATAAAATGTAGGTTGCAATAGTTCCCTTTCAACCTGTGACTTGAATAACAGTTCTCATCATAAATACTGTGCAGTTCAGCATACTTATCTTGGAAAAATAGGTCAAAGCTGAACATTTTAACTTCACACCAAAAACCACATTTTCACTTCTTAGCTTTTACATTTATATTATCCGTCTATTATTGTGCTTGTCTGTATACTGTATTATGGCAATAAGGCTAATGCTTTGAGCTGAGGAAGGGGGATGCAGAGCTGAGTTTTGGATTTGGACGCAGAAATAAGCAGTAAAAGAGGGGTGCAGAGGAAATTGATCACTTTGGGGAGGGTTACTTGTGGAAGGGGAGATTTTTTTCTTGGAAAGGAGGAGGAAACTTTACTTGCAGAATTCAATAGTGAACTGTATGTAATGTGTAATGTATGGAACAGCATACAGTGTGCAGTGTACAGGATTTTGGAATGCACTTTGTATATTACATATTCAGAACTGCTATACTCTGTACGCTGTTTAATATGTTAGATACCTTTTATTGTCATCTGTTACAAATTAATGGCAGGTGCATGGTACTCTTGAATGCTACACACTGTACAATGAGTTGTATGTTACAGATTTCTGAACCCTGAACTCTGTATACTGGGCTGAAAATTACATATGCTTTACTGCTGTACTGTGTGCTGATGTCACGTACCTGATAGAAGTCCTGAATTGACAAGGTCAGCCTCTCTTGTATCTCCAACCCAGGCCCCACTGAAGGTAGAACAGATGGTGCCGAGCGACAGGAGAAACACGAGTGCCTGTGGATATTGATTGCAGAACTTGCAGCTGGAGGTGTAGCCTCATAAATCAAGCAGGGCATCCAGTCAGGAACAGAGGAGATGCTGGAACGGCCAGCCGAGGTTAAGGAAGCACTCCACTGGAACTGCAAGATATGGGTATTTGGCCTGCCGGAACTTCTGATAAGCGTGAGGCCAGAACACACACTGTGACAATCGGAGCTGAAATAATGGATAGCCAGGACAAGCACTCAGCAGGACTGTAGAGCCAAACTGGAGTCGGAAGCATATTCAGAGTAATAGCTAGGGTCAGCAGCAAGCAGGCGATGATGTACCAGAACATCAAACAGGGACAAGGCCAGGAGGAAGCCAGGATTAGAAATCGATGAGCAGAAGCATAAACAGAATCCAAGAGCAGGTCAATGGCAAGCCGGGTCTGTAACGGATACACACAGGATACAGCAGGAAACAGGGAATTAGCTGAAGACCAATCATCACTGACAGAGTGTAAGAGCCTCCTTTAAATAGTCCGACTGGCGCCAGAAGCTGTGGGCACGCTCCCGCGTGCATGCACCTGTGTGCACGCATTCTTGCGCACATGCGCAAGCCCATGCTCATTTTTTATTAGCAATGCACCCTTGCTCATTTCTGTGCACGATGTTGCTCATTTCCATACGCCAGTCACCGTACAGGAATTTTCTTACAGCTGAGCTGTATGTTACATACTCCTGACCACCACTCTCTGTAAACAAGGATTTATGTTTATAATCCTAGATTGTAAGCTCGAAAGAGCAGGGCCCTCGATCCCCTCATGTTTTGCATTGTATTGCTATTGTTCTATCACATGTTCTGTCCCCCTTTGTAATGTACAGCGCTGAGCGAAATATTGGCACTTTATAAATACTGTATAATAATAATAATCCTCACCACTCTGTACGGTGGGAGTCCATTTTCCTGCAATTGATGCCTAGAATCCTGTTTACCAAAGAAATTGTGGACCAGCTACAATGCAAGCTAAGTGACTTCCCTATTGCAAACAGACGTGCCAATGATCATCTACTAGAAAGAACAGATAATGTGTGCACATGTGTATGCAAGCATATTTGTAGAGCTCTGTCCTTTATTTTTTTTCTATAACAGCATGAAGTAGGACAGTTAGCAAAATAATTGGGTACTCATCTGGACATCTGGAATTTACTCTAATGTCCAGCTAAAACAGACCTGTTTTCTATTCTTAGTGCTAAGAAAAATTCTGCATGAACTGTCAAGGAAAAGTAAGGTGTAAGGGATTTCCGGCAAGAAGAATCGTGATCTGGAATGCGCAGAGGAATTCCTGTAGAAGAATTGCCGGTTTGTGCGCATGCGCGCAGGAATGCGCAATCGCGCACGTGCACGCGCATGGCGAAGATTGGCACCAGACGGCCCATTTAAGGAGTGCCTCTGCTCATGTTCAGTGCTGACTGGTCTTCAGCTTCCCCCGTGTCCTGCTTGTCCCTGTACAATTCCTCCGTTACCAACCCGGCTTGTTCCTGACCCGACTTTGATTACTCTCCTGATACTGATTCCTGGCTTCGGCTCTGCTCCTGACTTTGGCTTTTCCTTCTTATTCTGTACCGCGCTGCCTGACTGTTGATGACCCTGGCTATCCCATGACTCTGCTCCAGTCTCTTGTCCTTACTTCCTACTGTTATGAACCACCTAGCGGGGCCTCTAGCAGTCCACAGGACAGGATTCCCCAGGGCGCGGAGTCTAAGCCCCAGTCTGCCTGTTCACCAGAGCCCCTGATGGTGGGGATGGGCTTGGAGCAGACAAGGACCAGGTCGCGACCCCTGAGTACCCCCGTTCGTGGCAGCGGGACCCGCCAGAGGTATATGCAGGTAGAGAGCCTGATGTGAAGAGGTGGAAGACTGGATCCGAGCGGGATGGATGGATGGATGGCAGAGTAGTAAGCGTGGTCATTGAGCCGGGTCAGTAACAGTGGGATCAGCGTACAAGGCGGCAGGCAAAAGAATAGTCAGGTCACTTGCAGGGGTCGGCAACAGGAGTTCAGATCAGGTATGGAATATGCAGAAGAGAAGTCAGACTAGCCAGGGGATCAGAGCAGGAGAAGTCAGCGGAGGTCAGGTTCAGGCAGGGTCAGCAACAAATCTTAGGATCACAGAACACAGGAACACAGAGAAAAGACCATACGGCAATGGGTGTCAGTGCAGGGCAGGTTTAAATAGTGCGTCCTGCCCTGCTATTGGTGCCGGGCGAGCGGCCGCGATCGCGAGTGCGCATGCGCGGCTGCCCCCGTACAGGTCTCAGAGTCCGTCGGATCGGATGGATCGGTGCTCCGCGCATGCACGGAGTCACTTGCCGCCGCAATCCCTGACACCTACCTTGCTTTGTTGCACACCTGGCAATCCACAAAACCTGCTCTGCCTATTACTACTGTCTCCAAATCTGAGGATCATCCACCTCCCAAGGTCATCATCTGCAAGAGCTGCAAACAACAACCACTGAGCTCTTGTTCCCCTGGTCCCTAGACTCCCTCTGTTCCAACATCAGTGGGGTCAGGGCTAGTGACACAAGTGAGGCAGACCTCGTCAATTCACTCTCCCATCAGGTACGTGACATAAGACTACAGATGTGTTTGGTGACCATAAGGATGAATATCAGGGAATGAGGTCACAAATAAATGAAGAAAACCCTGCAATAAAAAATGCTGCAAACAGCGCAACCAAATTAATCCACCAAAAAGTGTCAGACACTCAAAAGGGATCTTCAGTATCTCTGGATCATACAGCTGCACCTCCAGTAATGTTGTGTACCTTATTCAGTGCAGAAAAAGTAGCAAAGGATCTTACGTTAGCGAAACAGGACAGAAGTTGCAAACAAGGATGAATTTGCACAGACATACCATCAAGAAACATAAAGAAGATGACTTCTGCACACCTGCGGGACATCATTTCGCACAACCAGACCACATTATGGAAGACCTCAATATTTTAATTCTTAAAGGAAATTTCAGAAACAATTGAGTACTGTCCGTGATACGTTTTTTTAGTTGCACTAACATACAATTTTGAGGACAAGCTTTTGGGGAGTGTCCCCTTCTTCAAGGTCCAAGCAGTACTATCAAAACTATTCAGGAAAGGAAAACTTTTGAACTAAGAATGATATTTCTACTTGGCACAAGAGATAACGGTCTTAATTTGGACATGGGATTCCTCACTCATTATCCAACAGTTTTATGACCCCCTCTGTGAGTGTTGTCCCCCCCCCCCCCCAGTCTTTGCTTTTGCTCTTTCTTATCTCTAGTCTAATCCTAGTTTTATAATCATTGCTGTGTACATTTGTTTGTGTGGTTTTTTTTTCCGGATTTTCTTTTTTTTTTTTTCTCCCCCTTTTAACATTTCTTTTAACATTCTGCTTCAAAACATTGTGAAGTAGTACTGACTGGACCTTGAAGAAGGAGACATACCCCGAAAGCTTGTCCTCAAAATTGTATGTTAGTGCAAATAAAAAAAAGTATCACGGACAGTATTCCATTGTTTCTGTGACCATAAGGAGGCGTGCAATCCACCTACTTTGGCCAGAGATAGTCAGTGGATGCTTCTTGCTAAAGAATTAGAAAATTATTCTTTTCCCTTTAATTGGACTTTGGGTGAGTACATCTTAGACAATTTCACAAAGTCTAGGCCAAACCTGTTTGGCTGCAGTAAAGAAGAGAAGTACATAGTGTCCTTAATTGGCTGGAACTTCCTTCACATTCTCCATATTGAGAAAAGAAGACTAAAGCTGAAATGAAGGCATTAGAAGACTAGCAGTTGCTTCAGAGTGTGTACGATCAATTGCTAATCAAGCCAACGATTTGCTAGAGTGGTGTGCTGCTCTCATGACTAAATCAATAAATACCCTAAAGTAGTTCTGAAGGCTGAAGATATTTTTTTTACCTTAATGCATTCTCTGCATTAAGGTAAAAAAAAACCTTCTGAGTGCAGCTCCACCCAAGCCCACCCTTATACTTACCTAAACCTGATCTTGATCCAGTGATGTGCACAAAATCATTGGCTCTCTTCCTCCTCATAGGCTCAGGCACAGCAGCAGGAGCCACTGGCTTGGGAATAAGCCCTCATGAGTGCCCCCAGGTGGGGGGGGGCAGTAGCATCAGTGTGGTACCTGAGAAGAGGAGGATCGGGGCTGCTCTGTGCAAAACTATTGCACAGAGCAGGTAAGTATGACATGTTTGGTATTAAAAAAAAAACAAATTTGGGTTTACAATCACTTTAAGGAAAACAAAGAGTCATAAGCCTGTTAGTAAAGCTAGCATACATTTGGATACAATTGGAATTGCGAGGATGTGCTCTCCTTAGGTGATAGTGAGGTTGAGAAGATAGAATTTGATATTACTGATGATGATGATTATTATCCAGTGCAGAAGGAAAAGGCAACATGAGAGAGAGGACATTGCAGATGGAGAAGCGCATCACTACTTATATGTAGAATTTAGAGATTTAAGGGAGTTTACATTTTTGAACTCCACAAGTTTCTAAGCATTATAAACAGTGGTCTAGGGAACCCTTTTTCAGTTGGCTCCTATGTCTGTGGGATGAAGGTGTAGACAGTGGTGTATCTAGGCAACAAAAAAATTGGCGGCCACCACAGAGAGAGACTGACATTGACCAAAAACACCCCTGCCTCCCACCCGGGAGAGCCTTCCACTACCACTGCCACCCCAAACACCAGCCACCATCCTTCACGATGAGAAAGAGAGAGACACTCACCTAAACAGCTCCGGACATCCCTAGGAACAAGAGTTGGGCTGTGCATACACAGTCATGAAACCCACAGCCTCTCTCGGAACCCACCAGGTCCCCATGCTGCGTGTGTACCTTCTTCTGTCCCTTCTTCCAAGGGGCAGTGCGGCCCCCCCCTAGGCAAATACCTTGTTTGCTTTGTGGAAAATACACCCCTTGGTGTGGACAGTGTTCTTTTGTCAGGAAGGAAGCAGTGGTCAAGGCCAATAGCAAGATCCAAGAGTTTGTGATCTTGTGAGAGATAGGAAAACCTGAGTAAGTACTGGTCCTAGTGACCTGGAAAATATCTCATTGTGGGGAACAATGGCTAAAGAAGCAAGATTACTTTGCATCTGTTCTGCTCTCTAACTTAATGGAGTCTGCACTGTGTAATGTTAGGGCTCCTTTGCTGCCCTTGTGAGAAGGCCTGGGATTAAACAGCAAGATGCACTAGAGGGGAGAACAATTGTATGAGCAGCTTAACAGGCGAGCACTGTTCTGCAAAATGGAGAACAGCATGTTAATGCTACATTTACACAACTCATTTCAATGGTATGGGACCCCTGCTATATCATTTAGTACATATGAATGATCTGAAGTGAAATGCAGAAATAACAGAAACATTAAAAAAAACTGGTATCAGGCATGGTGATTCAACATATCTTAGTGTTAAAAATGACTGATTTCTTCAAAGCTTTAGTTTTATATTGATTTTATGAAAGCCTATTTCTGAGGTTAGGAATACAGTAATAAAATTCAGAGGATGAGGAGACAAGGTTTGTTGTGTTAGACCGTTCACTCCTAATGGACTTTCAACTGAACATGTGCTGCTAACACTTACAGACCCTGGGATTAAAATGGGAATCCATAGTACTTCCTAAGCGTTCTTGTTATTTACTGTAGATACACTTGTGAATACCACCAGCTTATTAAAACTAATCCTATTAGTGTACGTCAATATAAATATGTTAAATTTTATTTCTGCGCGTAATGGACAGACTGTACTATCTTATTAATTTTGGTGCACAGTAACTTTATTTATTGTTTTTTATGCAAATCTGCCAATCTCCTGCTACTTTCTGTGTATTGAATTATTTTTATCTTAGTAGTTGTTTTGGTTAATATGTAAACTATACTTCTTAGGCTAGTCATAAATTATACAATATTTTTGTACAATTTTCCTTTAGATTTACCAAAACTATATAATATGAGGTCAAAAGTATATACGTTCAATTTGTATGCAGTCATGCAGGCCTTTCTCTACATAGTTGAAGGTAAGTCTAAAGGAAATTGATTAAGAAAATTGTATCATGTATGGTCAGAAAGCCAATAAAGGTAGACTGTGCAAATCTGAATCTAAAATTCAATTATTAGTAAAGTGTTTGCGTTTTGCTGATTGTAGAGCTCATTCAGCAGGTGGTGTTAAGAAAACCTTGCTCTCACATAGAGTACAGCAGTCTTTCTCTAGAGTTTCCCAACTGGGGTAGAAGAGTTCCACCCGGTACTTGGGCTCTGGTTTAAAACACATGAGAAGAAGGGTGCATTCACATAGGCAATTAGCACACCCTGCAATTTCCAGTGGCAAGAATCTGTGAATTCCTGCATCTGGAATGACCAATGTGTACAAATAGGTGTGTGTTTGCTCATCCCATATAATGCAATGACAGGCTGATGGAGGCTGCAACTTTTCATGACTGTATGCATATCCTGCGTTTATCATGGCTGGATGCACACAGAATGAACCCAGCCAAGATCACTGTGGGTAATTATTGGCTGTGCGGACAGTCTAATAGCTGTGGCTGCAGTCAGCCTGAAATTACTAGTGATGGGCTTCATGTTCGAGTCGAACGTAAGTTTGACTCATCACTCAAACAAGGGCCATTCGTGGGTTTGCTGAACTCACGAATGGTAAGGGCGTTCGGTGGGCTGTTTGCCCACTGTGCCCCACAATACGCTGTACCCTGACAGTGCATTGTGATTAGGGAAAGCAATGCACTTGACCACAGGTCAGGTGCAATGCTTTGGCCAATCACAGCACATGATGACATCACAAGGGGGCAGGGGGAAACCCCTTGTGACATCATTACAGTATTTAAGAACTGTCATCCCGGTGCAGCTGTCAGATGGTGGGAGCCAGCGTCGAGAGCGGAGCATGTTTTATTCCTTTTTTCAGGTCGATGGTCGCAGTGGGCATTGTGATTGACATTGGATCTACATCAGGGGACTTTTTTCTATTTTTGTTTTTAATAAAGAACTTGATAAAAATGGTCTCCTGTCATTTTTTACTACACTTTTTTTTTGTGAACCGCATACTCATTCACATGGGAGGGGGGGGGGCCAGGATCTGGGGGCCACCCTTGTTAAAGGGGGTTTCCAGACACTCTTCTGATGGATGGCTGCTGAATTGCACCATAAAAGTCTTGTATAGGCACACAAAACTTCTGCAGAACAGTGTCTGTATAGAAGCTTTTTCTCTACCTAAGCACTTGGCTACACCTGTGTAAATGCACCGTAAGGACTACTACATTTTGTTGCCTAAAAAAGCCACATTTAGGCTAGGTTCACACCTATGCAATTTGCATTTGATCTCTTTTTGTAGTGTTTTTGATGCGTTTTTTCTTGTTGCTAGGCAGATTTAAAATGGAAACGCATCAAAAACGTGGCAAAACACATAAAAAATGCACTACATGCTTATCTGCAGCATTTGCATTGAAGTCTATAGAACCAAAAACACAACTTTATTGTGTTCAAAAAATTCCTTGACCCTTTACAGAAAACACATCGGGTGAAAGCACAAAGATGTGAACGTGTCCCATAGGAAATCATGTTAAATGGAC